CATTGATAAATCAATAATACAATCATATATATATATATATATATATATATATGGAAAACAGTTAAAATTGTTTGGAAATGATATTGTAACAACAGAAGGCCAGACACGGGAGCCAAGGTATATTTCATTAATCAAACTGCAAATACCGAATTGAACTGTGGGAATGTGTGAGAATAATATTCCGTTGGTAGACATTGTCTGCATCACACCACCACAATATCATCACACGATGTAGTCTTCAGCTTTTGACGTTGATCATGTATAAAAGTGTAGGTTATCAGTTCCACATTCCTGTCGAAACAAATGATTCCTAACTAAAGGAAATCAGTCACAATAGATCGCAATGGTGCCCACTCACGAAACAATTATTCACACTAAAACCTCTAAAGTCTGACTGTTATTACTTTCTACTTGGTATCTTTTAATAATAAGCCGAAGTGGGTGTTCCCGTTTAGTCAACTTTTACCTCACTGACCATAGGTATGTTAGAAAACTGGACCAGTAAGTATGTAGGTTGTTTATAGGGGAAGGTCGACGTCACCACCCTGTAGCATATTCTCCACGGAAGCAGATAAAGTTCTACAAGTTATGTGTTGGGTGGTAACTAGCAGTGGAATTCAGAGTGCGCATTTTGTCCCAGCGAGACAAGAACCCAACACCCACGTCACAATGTTATCCACTACGCCACCTGCACAACGTCTTGTGCAACGGGTATCAGTTATTATACGTTTAAGATAATCTTGTATTCCACTTTGATTATATTGGACCGAAATATCAACAGAGATCTAACGCTTCAGTTCGATATAACCAGTCAACGGCAAATATAAAGTTAAGTCAAATAAAGTCTAAGAAGATTTTTATCTACTGCGAACTAAGTCTTCAAAGAGCAGTTCCATTCTCTAGTTTCAGCAACACAGAAGTCCATCAACAACACTGTTGTTAATTTTCCTAATTCTTAAAGCCTGATGAGTAACGCGAAAATATTTTATTTTGCTGACTGGAGAACAATTAAGGCCTTCTTATTAGTCAGTTCGCCACAACTTACTCTAGATATGCTCAAACAGGATGGCTTGCTTAGTTTAAAATACCACTTATCGCAGGATAACGACATAACTTGACATACTGGCAAAAGTATTACTCTGAATTCCTATCGTGTCTGCCATGTGGAGAAGTGACCAAATTATTTTCATGGAAATAAACACATAGTTGAGATGGCAGAAAGGTTTAAAGCAAAGAAAATTTAACGGGACGTTCTTAACAAATGATTTATCAGTCCGCTTGGTATTAGAATTATCTTAATAATGGCAATGATCTATACGGTGACAAAAGAAATTTAACACCATAAATAATTTCCTTCATCACAATATCTTTGTTAATCTGATAGGTAGTGGTTGATTGAGCGCTACGTTTTGGGACATCAGGGTGATAGCCGATAATGAAGGTGAATGGAATAATGATTCGTGAGGAAAATATTATATTTTCCCCTTCATATATATATATATATACATATGTATATGAAAATTTTAATCCTGTTATTGATTTGTGTACTTGCATTAGTGTTAATGAATAGAAGTCAGAATTGTGAGGAATCCTTTTTTGTTTTCGTATTCTCAACATTCGGAAAAATGAGGTTGTAATTTTATCCCCTTAGTGGACTGAAAACTAGTGAATTACGACTAAATTTAACAATACACAGATTGGATAAGAGTCTATATACTTCCACTGGAAAACTGAATTTGCCTAATCCCACTGTCGATGCTAGTGAGCACAGAATAGCCTGCTTATTCGAACTAGTTTCCGTTGGCGGGAAAAAGAAGGCTGTCATGGCTTAATCGTGTATTGGTTGCCAGAACTTTGTAGAAACATGATCAGAAGAATTGCTGAACATTATATCAACGCTTATTTAAAGAATTTGGCACTGATTAAACAACGTAAATCTGTTTCGTTATTGCCCGAAGAATAAGCACGCGTGTTGCAATTAGTAGTGTTCCCTGAGCTGGTTGGTTTAATTGCGAAGCTTTCTTCGTCCTTCTGGACAACATCTTCAGTGCAAGTTTTAGCATAAAATGAACTGATTTAGATTCTCCATGAATGATAGAATTGTATCTCCTGACTCTATTGATCACTTTTATTGACTTGGAATTCAAACTTTCTTGTCGTGTGATTTACTTTTTATTAGCTGGTAAATTTGGCCTATAATAATGTGTTTGTTAATTACTAATTCACTTGAGTGCCAGGCTTCTAGGAATTCCTTAGCACTTTTGTTGTTTCCTCTGTTTAAAATTTCGACATTATCCCAATCAAATTGGTTTCCATAATTATCTACATGCATTGATATGAAAGAATATATATCATGTCTTTTTACAGCTAATTTATGTTCTTGTATTCTGATTTGAAGGGGACGCCCACTTTGACCGATGTAATATTTATTGCAGTTAATAAAATTTATTTTGTAAATGGTGTTAATCTTATCCCCTTTTACTGTTCGATCTTTCGGTCTGCACAATATCGGATGAAGTGATTGTGCTGGCTTGTGTGCTCTGGGTACGTTACGTTGATGATACATTTGTAATAGTTAAAAGAAATGATTTGGAATATACCTACAAATTGATACACAACATATTTGAAGACATCAAATTCACAAGAGAAGAAGAATTAGACAACAAAATTCCATTCTCATATGTCTTAATCGAGAGAACTAACGCAGAAAATTTAGAAACACAAGTATTTAGAAAATCAACGCACACAGACCAAATACTCAATTATAATAGTAATAACCCAATTACTCACAAAAGAAACAGTGTGCGGGCATTGTTTGAAAGAGTTCAAACACACTGTAGCACTATTCCGGTGTTGAAAAGAATGGAGGAAAAGTACCTACTAACCGTCTTCAAAAAGAATGGATATCCTCACAATTTTATCAAAATGTGTTTAAACTCTAGTCATAACACCAACAAGAAACCATCATCAAAGACTACAAGAAAATTCATCCTACCATATATGAAAATATCTCTGAAATAACAGCTGGAATATTAAGACCGTTTGAAATAGATATAGCACACAAGCCAGCACAATCACTTCACTCGATATTGTGCAAACCGAAAGATCCAACAGTAAAAGGGGATAAGATTAACACCATTTACAAAATAAATTTTATTAACTGCAATAAATATTACATCGGTCAAAGTGGGCGTCCCCTTCAAATCAGAATACAAGAACATAAATTAGCTGTAAAAAGACATGATATATATTCTTTCATATCAATGCATGTAGATAATTATGGAAACCAATTTGATTGGGATAATGTCGAAATTTTAAACAGAGGAAACAACAAAAGTGCTAAGGAATTCCTAGAAGCCTGGCACTCAAGTGAATTAGTAATTAACAAACACATTATTATAGGCCAAATTTACCAGCTAATAAAAAGTAAATCACACGACAAGAAAGTTTGAATTCCAAGTCAATAAAAGTGATCAATAGAGTCAGGAGATACAATTCTATCATTCATGGAGAATCTAAATCAGTTCATTTTATGCTAAAACTTGCACTGAAGATGTTGTCCAGAAGGACGAAGAAAGCTTCGCAATTAAACCAACCAGCTCAGAGAACACAACTAATTGGATATCATCCATCTGAGCTAGTAATCTCTATTTTTATCAAAATCAGTTGTTTTTCTGAATCGTTTTGTGTTGTTCTGCGACTGTTCCATTGCATATTATTCTGCGTTTCGCGGTTAGTCTTCTGAAACCAGCGATATGTCTAGGATCTCTGAGACCTGGGTATTTGACACCCACTTTCATCAAATAGGTAAACTTCCCTAAACTGATGGTTCAAATGTGCATGAATTTAGAGGGATAATGTGTTTGAGTGAAAATTATCAGCAGTTTCACTTATGATATATCTAAATTTTGTCGCAACAATAATTGTTCTTGTTCGTAAATGGAAAACTACACTTTGATACACTGTAACCACTGTCATGAACGAAGAAACATTCTTATGTGAAGTCCCTCTAAAAAGTTTGATGGACGAAGAAGTGGTAGAAACTGTTATTTTGTATACACACGATGAGTTTACTCATACTGGAAGATCAGACTGAGGATCTCAGATTTTAACAATGATAAGAAATACAATATCTGGAAAATAACTGCTTCCCTGGATGTCTTATGTGAATAAAATTCAAAACTAGGTAACGAGTTGTTATAAGCTAGATAACCATTTGCATTCAGGGAGTACAGGAGGGTCGTTTCATCCTAGTGTAGGACTCCCCGGGAAGAGACACACATAACCCCACCAACGAGGATCCAACCCAGAACCTTCAGGTTACAAGACCAGCTCATTTACTATTCAGTCACTTGGATGGCCCTTGAATTCTAACTCCTATCAATTCGCGATTTCATAGTTCCACCTCCAGTCACTATAATTGGCGAGGATTTGCCCGCAATTGATGATAAAGACTGTGTTATTACCAAGTGACCAACAATGAACCAACAGAGAACACGATTAATATAAATTAGCATCTAGTTTAGAAACGAATACTCTGCCTATAACCCACATAGAAAACACTGACGACACGCCTTCCTAAGTGTGCTTGTATACAGGCAATTATTAATGGTTGGATATGTATTGTACATGGCAACTTCAGTTCACAACTTTAGTGAGTGAGTAACACATACAACCATTTCAAACATTTCGATTCTCCAAAGTTAACATCAATGTAAACCGTCTCGGAAATATTATCAAGCCTTTAAAAACATAACTAATTAAAAATAGGATCATAGTACTAGTTGTATTGACTAATATCCATAATTTGGCTCTCTGAGCTGAGTCACTGATGAGGTTAGTCCTAAATGGGGGAAACGATCGTCTGGAGTTTAGACGACTTCGATCTAGCTAGCACAAGTGGAATGCAACTATTCATATTCATCAGCCAGTGGTATACAGCATACAAAAGACTGCTACTACTACTGTCCTTTATGAATCGATAAAAAACACGTATTCTTATGTGATATAAGGAGAATATAATTCAGTATGAATAAAAACTTCGTAAATAAATAGTGTGTATAGAAAAAACACTAAAGTTGATGGTATGAAAGCGATATAAATCTGAACAATTACAATTGTTTATGCAAAAAGACAACCATACTACTTATAAATGATAAGTAGTATGTTTCAAGTTAATTTAAAAAGTACGACGCTAATGTCAGTTTATATGAAAGACAACGTCAAAAAATTAAATATAAATTAGTTCAAACTTATACGAAATCACAAGTAGTTAAATTACTGTAAAGAAAATGGAGAATCTACAAAAAACAGAGCAATAATTGATGGAATAGTACAAAATCAATCATATGTATAGATAAATAAATACAAGTGTCAAACAGGTGATTAAATTTGTTGTTGAAAGTGGAGACAACAGTCACGATATATGAGAGGATGTACAGCAAAAGAACTGTAAAATCCATATCATATCATACCACAGATTAATGCAAATACTTAACAAAACGAATCTATACACAACAGATGATGATTGAGCACCCAATTCAAATTTTCACCTATCCGACAAGTTTAAGGTTCAAGTGAGAGTTTTATACCTGAAGATAAAGCAGACGGGAACAAAAATAACATATCGATTATGAATAATCACTGCTCATTAGTAAATAACGTATGAATAAAAATATAATTTCAGGTTTTCATTACGAACTGGACTTCAGTTATAGAATCACTGAAAAATAGAGACATATGGATAGCTATTTCGCCCTTGTTTGGGACTGTTGATCAATAGGCGTCCATGACCCAACTGTCGAGAATCGCACCATGAAGTTCTAGTGGGAAGTCGTGACCAGCAGGGTTCATCAAGTTAGGTGTAAGGCCAGTATTTATGCACCGATGACGTTGGTTGGCGGTTAAGCTGTGTCGGGGATTAGCGGAAATTAGAATTGACGCGCTACTGGGTTCCGCCCAGGTGACGGAATGGTAAACGATCTTGTAGCTCGAATGTCGTGGATTTAATCCATTGAAGGGTCATGAGTACTACTGAGAGTCCCAGACTAGGCCAAAACAGCTGATCTGCGTTCTCTGGTTTTCAATAGTTCCCAAAATGAAGTAAGTTCATGATCAAACTTGAAATTAATTAAATCCCTGCAAATCAACGCCTGAAAATCATAATTATGACTAGACTATTTGAAAGAGTTGTACAGCTAGAGGAAATGACGTTACTGTTTCGACTCCTGTCACTACCTAAACTTTTGTTTTTTCTCTCGATGGAAACACCAATTTTGAAAGTAGAGACAACTTCTTTCTATGATTTCATTCTCGATAGCTGTATAAAATAGTGATTTGTATACATGTTTTTCTGACCTTTTATAATTCAGCCTAGTTACAGTTATTATTTAGTTCGACATAGTGGCATTCAAATTTGAGAATACTTTTAGTTTTCAACTTGATTTGAAAATTCGCAAGTGTGATGAGAGAGATGAATACTAATCACATAGGGCATAGAAACTAAACTACAGGGTGACAAATATAGATGAATAATATGCAGAATAGTATTCACCGAAAAATGTTATGATCATGACGGGCATAGAAACAGATTGAAAGAAAGTATTCATTCTGTGACTGAAGGTGAAACAAATGAGGGGGACGAATAAACAAACAACTCAAAACAAGGGGAACCACACAAAAATAGACCTATGGTGGATGTGTAGGTTGAATGAAATTTTTTGAACACAAAGCTTCAGCTTCTGCATAGCATATAAGTCGAGAGCACATTGTCTTTAGTAGATTTCTTTTTACTTTGTTAATGACTATGAATGATAAGTTAGTTGAGATGTGATAAGAGCTGACAGTAATCATATCTCTTCTCCCCAGCCACGTTGGTTAGTGTTCTCTAACTCATTTTGACACGACGCGCTTAGAATGAAGTATACTCCTACCTCCACATGAGCGGATGAACTGATATATGCAAACTGGAGTGGTCGTATGTGGGAGTTCGTCTTTCGGATTGCTTAGAAGCACTGAAACGATCGAAAATATCACTCATAGGTTTGATGCAGAGAAAGTTTTCTTTAGGGAGCTGAAGATTCCTATCTTTGAGGTGTCTATCGTTAAGTCTCCTATGAAGTTCTATTACATTGTAGTATAGTATTTCCCCTCTCTCTCTCTCTGTCTCCCTCACAAACCTTTTTGGGTATCCACCCAGCTTCAGAGCTTAAAGTCTGAAGCCCTTTTTTCCACTGGGATCGCAAACGAGTGATATGATGTCGCAGCAGTTAATGACTCCAAGTATTGCATACCCATACTGTAAGGCTTCAAATTCACCGATTATTTACTTATACAGATATTGTAGTAAAAATAGTAATGACAATAATGATAATGAATTCATTAACACACGAATGACACTAAGGTCAGGTCCGATGATAATGATCAGATCTTTTCTGAATTATATTTCCCTTTACATAAGGTGTTAATTGACTGATCAGTATGAATCTATGATTGATTTTTTCTTTTTTTTAGATATTTTAACCGGAGTCATGAGATTTTATTTTGTTAGCTTTTTAAAGTCGGTATACTGTCATCCATCATGGTGATTATCTATTTTATTTCAATATTTTTATTAAATGCATTGGTGAGAGATTGAGAACATTTTTTAAAAAAGGTGCTCCGAATCGGAGAATAAAACGACTCAAGGTAAAGCAGTACGTGGAGTGGTAAATACGAACGAAAGTAGGCTATTTTTCTGAAGGCATAAGATGACAAATATGCTTCTGTTAAGAAATTTTTATTCCCACTTGTTTAGTTACTTAATGATGTTTTATCTCACCATGACACTCTTATAATATGCTTGTTGATAGACAAAAGTATGTTAAATTTTACGCTGACTTTTATTTGTTAAAGATTATAGGTTGTATGCAGCTGATGAGAACCAACCAAATAAGATGGATCCATGTTATTCAGCCCCAATGTTTGTTCGTTCTCTGCTCAAATTTATAAAAGGCAATTATTGCATGAAATACTTAATGAGAAACAAACGTGAGCTGAATGAAAAAAGACATGTTCATTTCTATTTTAGATATAAAATGGGAATCCCCGAAATTCTTGGTTTCTGTTGACATACCAACTTCTAGAACAGACGCTTCAACGATGTCTGAAGATTAACATGATGTTTATTTTAGCTGCTGGTTGACTAGCAGTGTAATTCAGGATGCGCATTTCGTTGTATTTTGAACCCCTCAGTTATGGCGTTCGAAAAGATAGATGTGGAGTTGAAGTCTCAATGGGAACACCATATGTCACTGGGGAGGCAGGCACATTCACCCGAATACGACGAAATGACCACTCTAAATTCCAGTGTTAGTCACCATCAATCAACCAAAGGAATATCATATATTACTCTGTCTGACAATACAGATTAGTAGGTATAAACAAAATACAATTTGGCATTTATTGAGTCAATAAACCTTTTAATACTGACATACTGAAAATGATTTCGAAGGAGAGGAAATAAGAAAAAAGTGAAAATTTTGTTGTCGGCCTGTTTGAATTTTTGGGCCTGCTATCATAAAATCTACATATTGCATCCAACCTACCATTTACTCCATTCATTTATCACCCAAATATGAATTCCAAAAGGATTATTTACTCTCGCAACTTTATCATTCATTTACGACCCAATGACTTTCATATTCCCAAGAAACCAAGGAGGAAGCATCGTAGTGGCTGGCAAAGAGCTCTTAAACGTACACCAATACATTTAACCACGGTCCCTGTCATAATGAACACCAACTGCCGCTCTCTGCCTAACAAAATAATGTACCTACAATCCTTGATGTCCACTGACACTTATCACAATACTGCGATAATCACATTACAAGAAACATGGTTACACGAACTGTACGATGACAATCTCATCTCTCTAAAGGACTTCATCCTATTTAGACAAGACCGAATATGCTGTAATAAGAAAAGTGGGGGTGGAGTTGCAACTTTCATTAACTCAAAATGGTCTATTTCTAATAATGTTTGCTTCTCATACTCAAATGACTTCATAGACTGCATCACCGTCAAATGTCGTCCCAAACATCTCTCCAAACATAAACACATCTTTATCACAAACATGTACATTTCTCCAAGTTGCTCACCATCTAATCTTTCAAATTTTGCTGATGAATTCACCATGTTTTCTGCTGCCAACTTTGATAACTCTCTATCTGTTATTACTGGGGACTTCAACTCGTCAGATTGGTCCTTCCTTGAAGCACTTGGTCACTCTAACATTGTCAAATTTCCCACTCGACTAGACAAAACACTGGATTTAGTTTTTACAAATGACGAAGGAATCTATGAAGCACGTAAACGTGCACCGATCCTCAACTCTGATCACTCTATTGTTCGTGTTCTACCAAAAATTTACAGCAAAACACATATTAAAGTCTTCTCGCATCTGTCTATGAAAGCACAACAAAGATGCTACTCATCCGAAAACTTACTCGATCTAAGGTGCATGTTAAAAAACACTAACTGGGATTTATTCCATGAAAGTTCATTAGATGACACAATAGTCAATATAACGGATTATCTCAAGTTTTGCCTTGATATATGCTGTCCCAAACAAACTCTATTCAAACGTCTCGACCGCTTCTCATCTCCTTATCTCAAACAACTTCGCAGGAAAAAAGAAACTTTATACAAATCCAAAGACAAGTTAGGACTCAAAAAGATTAATGCTCAGATCAAATCTGAAATCAAAAATCTTAATGCTATCTATAATGATACACTTTTATCATGTAAATCTCCAATCAGTATGTGGAAACTTTTTAATGAAATTACTGGTAATAGTAAGCGTTGTAATACTTTTCCCTCTTATGATGTTAATGCTCTTAATCAGTCTTTTATACGCTGTCCTTCTACTTTAACTACTTCTAATGTTACCTATCATGTAGCTGAAAACTTTCATGACTTTAATACTCTCAATGTTCTAAAATGTCTTAAAACGCTCAAGCCCTCACGTAGCCTTGGCCCTGATGGTATACCTGCATATGTTCTAAAACAATGTGCAGATGCGTTGTGTTCTCCACTAACCAACATCCTAAATGCTTCTTTCTCCAAAAATATTGTACCTGATGCATGGAAAGACATTAAAATTGTCCCTGTCCCTAAACCTGGAAACGGCAAAAAAGTAAAGTTCAGACCCATTGCCATCACTTCCCCGTTCCTAAAGCTTATGGAAAAACTAATACTTCTTAAACTCGAACCCTCCCTTAAAAACTTCGAAGACCCAAAACAATTTGCCTATAGGCAGGGTAGGAGTACATTAGACGCTGCAGCTGTCTTACACAACAACATCGTCTCATCATTAGATAAAGGTGCCAAATACGTCCGCTGCACGTTTCTTGACTTCACTTCTGCTTTCGACTCTGTTCCTAGATGTCTCCTGCTAAATAAGCTCTCTTTGGCGAAAACTGAGTCCTGGGTCACTAACTGGTTGCATTCCTACTTCTCTAACAGAATGCAGTACACCGTATACAAAGGTAAATCATCCTCTGCTGCACTCACTGAAGCCGGAGTCCCCCAAGGCGCTGTACTCTCCCCACTT